ATATAATTTATATAAAGCATAAGTTTATATGTTTCTACGTTGCCTATAGAACTGAATGCAATCATACACTTTAGCAAACTCTCAAAGATATTCCCTGCAATAGAAGTCACACTTACAGATCTGTGGGAAGACCTTAATCCCTTTCTAAAAATAAGCACAACATTGGCCTTGCACCAACCCATTGGTACCAAACCAGTCGTCATTATCATGTCTCTGAAAATTAGCTATAGTCCTCAGGAATAGCTGAGCTCAACTTTTGAGGACTCATGGGTGCATGACATCTGGTCCGGGTGGCTTTTACTTTCAACATTTTGTATCATTGTTTCTAGACCAAAATAATGCCAACCCGTCTTGCACCAATCCATTGCATAGTTACATAGTATTTGAGGTTGAATAAAGACACATGTCCATCAAGTTCAACCTTTGTGTGTATGTGTGTGACTGTGTATGTATACGAGTCCCCATCTGATCCTGTTTTTAAGAGTACCTGTACCCCTGTATGTTGCGGTCTCTGAGGAAGGTATCTAGATGCTTTTTGAATGATTCAATACTCTAGGCTAATACCACTGCTTGTGGCAGAGAGTTCCAGACCCTAACCGCTCTGACTGAAAAAAAGCCCCTTGTGATTAAATCTTTTCTCCACCAATTTTAGGTGGTGGCCTCTAGCCTTTGTTAGGGAGTTTACTGTAAAAAGTTTATTGCTGATGTTGCCATCACCACCAAACATTTTGTACGTCAAAATCATGTGGGTGCATGACATATGGTCCAGGTGTTTTTAGACCATATCAATACTGACCCGCCTTGCTACATTTAGGCTGTGTTACTATCATCCTAATTTTGTATATAAGCACTACACTGAGTAGCCAGATTATTATGACCACCTTAGCTATAATTAGCTATAATTTGGCGCTGAGGTTGCTAGAGGGCCAGACCTTTATAAATAGGGAAGCGGGTTGGTTACCACGACAGTAGAAGTGATTTGTTTCTGAAGATACGGGGAAACAACGCGATTTAACAGCCTTTGAACGCGGGATGATTGTTGGCGCTCGGAGCCGTGGAGCGAGTATCAGCAAAACAGCAGAACTCGTTACATGTTCAAGAGCAGCTCATTGTTAAAGTGTTTAAAGACCGGACTGTCAGCCGAAAATCTGGGTCTGAGCGTGCGAATTGTGGCCGTCAGCGACTAGTCAATGTTAGGGCAGAACGGGGGAGGGGCAAGACTGGTACAAGACAACCGAAGTGCAACAGTGC